CAGAGGGTGCAGTAGAGTTAGGGAGATAGATGCAGTTCTCTGGAGCCAAGGTTGCTTTGTCTGCCCAATGCCATGATTAAGGGTATCCCTGTAGGGTAGGATAGGAACTTGGAGTGGGAGGGGAAGGATCCATGGAAAATGGGATTAGAGTATATAGGTGGTTGATGATCAGCACAGACATGATGGGCCAACAGGCTGCTTTCTGTGCTGTAAAACTCTGTGACTCTATCTAAAATCTAGTCTAGGTGGTTTTTAACATTTGTCTATAATATACTGTTCAAGCTAAGTTTCTTTCAGTCTAAGTCAGGGATAAATAAGTTAATGACAGGAGAACTGACTACCATTAGATAAGACGATAAGAAATAGGAACAGGAGTAGGGCCATTCAGCCTCACCAGCTCTGACATTCAATAGGATCATGGCTGATCCACATTCCTGTGTTTTCCCCATAACCCTCAATTCCCCACTGATCAAGAATCTGTCTCTGCCTTCAACATACACAAGGACTCTGACCCCACAACTCTCTGTGGCAAGGAGTTCCAAAGACACTCAACCCTCTGAGGCAAGAAATTCTTCCTCATCTCAGTCTTAAATTGGTGCCCCTTTATTCTGAGATGATGCCATCTGGTCCTAGACATTCCCATGAGGGGAGACATCCTCACAGCATTTACTTGTCAAGCTCCTTAAAAATCCAAAATGGTTCAATGAGATCACCTCTCATTCTTCTGAACTCCAGTGAGTACAGTCCCAACCTGTATAGTCTTTGCTCATTGGACAATCCTTCCATACCAGGGATCTTCTTAGTGAACCTTTTCTGAACCGCCTCTCATGAAATTATATCTTTTCTGAATAAAAGGACCAAAACTGCTCACAGTACACTAAGATGTGGTCTCACCAGTACCTCTACAGTTGCAGTCAGACTTCCCTACTCTAATACGCCAAGCCCTTTGAAATAAGGACCAACATTCCATTAGCTTTCCTGATTGATTTCATTAGCCTTCCATCAGCCACTTGCTGCACTTGTGTGCTAGCTTTCTGTGTTTTGTGCACAAGTCCCTTTGTGTTGCAAGTTTCTGCAGTTTGTCTTCATTTAAAAAATACTCTGTCCTTTTGTTCTCCCTTCCAAAATGAACAACCTCACACTTTCTCAAATCATCCTGCATTTGCCAACATTTTGCCCACTTACTTAACCTGTCAATATCTATCTGTAAATTGTTTGCATTCCTTTGTAGGCTGTCTTTCCACCTATTTTCAGTTGTCTGCAAATTTGGCTACAGTACATTCACTTGCTTCCTCCATTAATTAATATATATTAAAATGTATTATAAACAGTTGCAGTCCCAGCAGTGACCTGTGTGGAACCCACTAATCACAGGTCTCCAACCTGAAAAAGAATCCCTAATCCCATTAGTTAATTCTTTATCCATGCCAATATTCTATCTCCAACACCATGGGCTCATACAACTTAATCTTTTGTGAGGTATCTTGTCGAACACCTTCTGGAAGTCTAATAAAATACATCTACTGGTTACCCTCTATTGTCTCTGGTAGACACCTTTTTTGAAAAGCTCAAATTATTCATCCCCTGTTTAACCCACATTCACATGATAATTTCACATTTGGAAATTAAAGGCTCACCTGCCAGTTAGCAACTTGGAAAGACAATGGAGTCAGACTCAGGAATACATACAGAATTATATTTCAACAGCTGCTTTTGAGCAGCAGAAGACAGAAAAAGAAGAGGAGATTGGTAAGAAAGAACTGAAAGACTCTCTTTCTTCCTGCTTCTATCTCTCATCACATCAGAATACAGCAATGAAGCCATACTGACTCTGCTTGATTAGATTCTGATTTTCCAAGTGTTCTGTTATTACTTCCTTAAGAGTTAATTTCAGTGCTTTTCCAACAATAGATGTTAGGCTAATTGGCCTATAGTTACTCACTTTTTGCCTGCCTCCCTTTTTTGTACAGCAGTGTCATGTTGGCAGTTTTCCAATCCTATGGTACTTCTCCAGAATCCAAGGATTCTTGCAAAATTACAACCAATGCATCTTCATTTAAAAAATACTCTGTGTCTAATTTAAATGAGTTTCTCTCACTGACTGTGCTGACACATTGCTGTAGAATTTCTATGCACAGGTCGAACTGAAGAAGTTCTACTGGTGGAACATGAAAAGCTAGGGGCTAGATCACAGTTGATTGTGTGGCTGAAAGAAATGGGTTTTGATCTTGGTGTACATGAACAAGCACTGAAGGTAGTGGGACTGTACGTTTGGAAAGGGATTTACTTGAATACACTATGACTAGTACAAATTCTATCATTATCGTTGTTAGAGGGGGCTTTAAATTAAATGGTGAGGGCAGGGATGTGGGGGGAAGGTTCGCATGAAGGGAGATTTAGAAAGTTAAAGTAAAAGCACAAGGAAATTGTGTAAGGTAATGATATGGTTGAGGATAACCAGGTGTAACAGGAAGGGACAATGTTTACAAAACTAAGCACCAGCAAATAAAGGTCAGAGTGAACAAAAACAGTAAAAGGCCAAAATTAAAGTCTCTTCGTCTGAGCACTCAGCATTTGTAACAAGATGAATGAATTCATAGCATGAATAGAAACAAATTATTATGATATAGTAGTCATACAGAGACATGATTACAATGTGCACACGGCTGGGGACTAGAATACTCAAATATCAAATATAGTATAACAGTAGTAAATTTCATCTATCAAATTTTAAATTCCACCATCTGATTGTTATGCCTGCAACCTTTTCGATCAAAATGACTTTTAAGAAAGGAAGAAACAAGGACCTAAAATGGCTACTGTGGTCTGTTTCATGTGACCCATGTAAATAAACAAGACCATTTGCATTGAATTTATCACTTTTTATCTGAAGACATTGAAACTAATCAACTAAGTCAGCATCAAGAAATTTTCATCCCCTGTTTAATTCACAGTTGCATGATAATTTCACATTGGTCAATGAAAGGTTCACCTGCCAGTTAGCCAACTTGGAAAGACAATGGAGCTAGACTCAGGAATACAAACAGAATTATATTTCAATTGCTGCTTTTGAGCAGCAGAATACAGAAAAGGAAGAGGAAATTTGTAAGCAAGAACTGAAAGACTGTCTCTCTCCCTACCTCTTCCTCTCATCATCTCAGAATACAGCAACCAAAAAGCAAATTGGAGAGAGTAGCTATTCACAGGAAATTCAAAGATACCTACAGGTTTTGCTCCTGCTGAGGATACATATCAATCATTAAACAACTGTGTCCTTCAATTAAGAATCTCAAAGACCCAAAGGACTCATCTTATTGTATAATCTTAATTTTCTATATCTATACAAACTACTCTCTCTTTTAAGTTTATTGCCTGTGTTTGATTTGCATTCTTAATTATTTTTCCTCAGGGTTAGTAGATGATCATTTTCATCTTTTTCCACTCAAAAAAATCTTGGTCATTGGTTTCTTAATTTTCTCGTGAACCATATTTTAGCTTTGTGCTTCAAAAGAATAAAAATATTTGTTGCAAACAACGGAAGAGAGAGTTAAAATGGGATAAATGGATCTTTTTCATTTTTGTAAACTGTAACCAGTGGAGTGAAACAGGAACCATTGCCGGGGTCTTAATGGGGCAGATGCTGAAAGAATGTCTTGCCTTGTGGGAGAATTGCAGAACTCAGGAGCATGGTTTAAAATAAAGGATTTTCCAGTTAAGGCAGCAATGAGGTGGAATTTTTTTCTTTATCTGTATTTGGAATTCTCCTTCCCAGCAAGCCGTAAAGGCTGGGACATTTAATATATTCAAAGCCAAATTAGAAAGATTTTGATTGACAAGAAAATTAAGAGTGATGAGAACAGGCAGGAGAGTAGTGTTCAGACTACAGTCAGTCTTTGTGAGACCATATCTTGAATGAAATGAGCAGTTTTGGTCTCTATGTTTAAGGAAGGATGTTAATGTATTGGATTAAGTTCAGAGTCCATTTATTAGATTGATACCTGAAACAAGCTTGTTGTCTTATGAAGATACATCAAAGAGGCTGAGTTTATTTTGACTAGAGTTTAGAAGAATGAGGCCTGACTAGATTGAAGTACATAGATTTCAAATGGTCTTGACAAGTTGGACGTGGAAAAGATGTTTCCACTTATGGGTCAGTCCAGAACCAGTGGGCACTACGATGAGTCACCCTTTCAGGACAGAGATGAGGTGATTTTATTTTATCTCTGAGGGGTGTGTAGCTTTGGAACTCTCTGCCTTAGACAGTAGTGGAGGTGGTGTCATTGAATACTTTCAAGAAAGAGGTGGATATTGTTGTTGGAATTTGAAACAAAAGAAGACAAGCCATGACTTTATTGAATGAAACAGCAATCTTGAGGGGTCAAATTGTCTACTTCTGCTCCTATTTTGTAAATTTATATGATTTGTGATAGCAACAACTTTCAGCTTCCTGGAAAGGTTGGGGTAACTTTGACCTTCTAACCAGGGAAGTTAACGAATGAAACAGATCTGCTATCTCATGTTACATCCACCTGATTGTCAGCATATTAAAATAAATGGAGGTAAAACTTACCTAGTGCTTTTGTTTTTAAAATGGATATGTCAATTTGTACAGGGAAATGGACTGAATTATTATTTAAAGATGGATTATCTTCTAATTTAGGGAGAACAACATCTAGGTCAAAAAATATAATTTCCAATCCAACGTCATGACAATTAAGTAGTACAATGACACTGACATGGTGCATTGAGTTATAATGATGAGTATGAAGTTACATATCAGTCATAACTTTTTTTTCTATTTATTTAATGACAAATTCTTTCTAAGTGGTTATGCACAAGATATGTCCATATCCCCGATCCCAAATAAAACTTGATACCATATATAATTAAACTGTACATGTTAAACTTACTCCAAAGAGGATTAAAACATCTTAAACCTCCTCCTTCTAGACAGAAGGGAAACACCTTCTGGATTGGACTAAAAGCTCATAATTTCTTACCTCTTTTCTGTCCTCTCCAAAAGCCTGAAGAATGTCAGTCTGTCTTGTGTAGTTTCCGTTTGAATCCTGAAGACCCTGAAGAATTCTCTCACGAAGCACAAGAACTGACACACGCAGCTGGTGCCACAAAAGTTGAACAGTGTGGATGTCTACAAGGATATTGACTGAGTAGGAGAGAAGCTTCAGTGAAATTTCTGTCTCTAATAGGGCATGGATCAGCTCCACATGATCTGAAATATCTTCACAGATATCCTGCAGGGAGAGAAAGAAGATAGCTTACAGAATTATATTTCCAATTTTTTTGCTCTTCTTTATTCATTAACATGATGAGGGCGTCGCTGACTAGGCAGCATTTATTGCCCATCCCTAATTGCCTAGAGGCCAGTTCAGAGTCAACCACATTGCTGTGGATCTGGAGTCACATATAGGCCAGACCAGGTAGGGATGGCAGTTTCGTTCTCTAAAGGACATTAGTGAACCAGATGGGTTTTTCCGACAATCAACAATGGATAGATGGTCATCATTAGATTCTTAATTCCAGACATTTTATTGAATTCAAATTCCACCATCTGCCATGGCAGGATTCAAACCCAAGTCCCCAGAACGTTATCTAAGTCTCTGGATTAACAGTCCAACGATGATACCACTAGGCCATTGCCTCCCAATGGACCTTTATCTTCAAGGAGATTTGTGTGATTATTGTGTGAAAAAAAAACTGTCGTTGAACTTTCGGGAAGTTTACAGCTTCACTGGATCCAGATACTTCTACATTTTTGCAATATCTTTTCTCATTGATGTTTGGATCTCACATAATTAATGAGTGTTGTAATTGTAATTTATCATTTTTGATGCATTTCCTAATCTTCAGTTGCAATTTTAACCTTTTCTTCGTTGTTACATTGTTTCAGCACGTACTTGTTTGTAGAGTAAATGGTTGTTGCTGTGCCTACATCTCTGAGACTTCAAAAATTAAACTTCAGAATCATTTAAATTATCCTCAGACTTGTACTTCATGGTTCAAAAGCAAATGGAGATGCAGTTTTCTGTCTATGCATGCAATAGCAGTGTGCCAGAAGAACCAGTTTTCTGACCCCAATCCTATCACTGGTCATATGAGGGAAGGCAGGTTCAGGGCGCTGTGGAGCTTCCTAGCCCACATGAAGGGCAACCAATTCGACTCATTACAAGCCTCAACAAAGGCAACTAAGGAAAAAGATGGTAGCAGGCAGTTCCATTGCTTGGAGGCAGTCATACAGCTGCATATGCCATAGGGTCAGCACTCCCAGCAGCCAAAGGCTGCCCTGTCAAGGGGCAATTCTCCCTACTGTCATTCCCTTTACTCTACCCTCATCCACAGGGATGGGCTGGTTGCTTTTTCCACAAAAAGATCAGCCATGAACTTATTGAATGGTGGAGCAGGCTCAACGGGCCAGATGGCCTACTCCTATTCCTATTTCTCATGTTCTCATGTTCTTGTGTCTGATTCTGGTAATCCAGGTGTGTGACACATAACATGTAATGTTTGGACCTGGAAAGAGCAGATATCAACTTTGTTGACTTGTGTCAATAGCCAGGGTATCCTTGTTGAAAAGCAAGATATCACTTTGTATGTGGTCCTTTTGTGTTGTGGTCAGGTACCTTTTGGGAGAGGCAAGGGATTATTAAAAAGTAGACTTGAATGTGCATAAAAAAGTGCATTACCCATTGGAAATGTGAAGCTCCATAGAATCAGAAGCAAAGTTCAAAAATGTCAAAAAGATCTATCAGAAGTACCAAGATGAACTTTCTAGAACATTGTAGCAGAAATTGCCAGAAGTTTCAACAGGAACTGTCAAAATCAACTCCAAAACTGCCAAGGAATTTTAAATTTCTGCCTTTTAAATATTTGAAAAAGAAGCTGTTAGAAGTGCAAAAAAACAACTTTGCTTTCTACTCATTCCATCTGTTGACATAAGCCTGAATTCATGCATGACTGATTTTATAACCTTTCATTACACAGTATCGTGTCTGCCATTTCATAGATTGGTTGACAGACCAAAGTCATCATAAACTGTTTATAGTGGTACTCTGAATTTTATTATCCATTTGAATGAACTGTTTGTTGTTATTATGAATTATGGGTTTGAAAGAATGTAAGTCTAATGAATGAAGCCTTATAAATGAGTATTCTTTTTTTAAAAAAAAATGTCTACAGTAGGTACTTAAGTCTTTATTTTATTTAATCTCAGAGTAGGTCCTGAAGTCTGCTGATAATGGATACTGGGTGAGTTGGCATGGTAGGAATAAAGGCAAAGGGTAGTGGATGGGAGGGCATAGATTGGTATGGTGGTTATTAATAATAACAGATTAATAAAGTAAGTACCTCATATTTCAGATTCATTACTTTGCAAAACACATTGCTGTGATTCACTTTCTCAGCAACAATTTCATACATTTAAAGTAAGCTGTGTCCTTCTATGCATGTCCCTGAGAAAACTATTCTCCCTGTTAAAATCTCATTGCCTCAGGGCAGACTTGTCAATGTCCCTGCATATTCAAACTTTAATTCTATGCCAATAATGTCTTACAGGAATACAACAATAGAAATCCCTATTTTTCTTCATGTGATTTCTTCAATCTAATTTTTGAACTTTACTGCTGCTTTCCTGGCAATATTTCTATGGTTCTCAATGACTACTACTTTTAAAGGTTATTGTTCTAAGTATGTTTCGTGAGCACACTATAGCTGTCTGCCTTGGGATGTGGGTCCCTTCATGAAATCTGTACGGTCTTTGATCATTGGAAGTCTACATCTACACTCTGTGTATCTGGTCTTGTTTTACTAAGCCACTGCTCGTCCATCCCTAACATCCCTGTTTCATCTTTATTCTGCAGCAAGGATCCTTCATTATCTTCAGTCCTGGGACACTTTATTTACTACAATATACACAAGTGACTGAATACAGTTTTCTACTGCCGTGTCTCATTCCACCTCCATTACATGCTTCTCTCTCGACTTTCTGTCTTCTCTATGCTGTTCTGCTGTGGTCTGCTGACGGCAGAGTAACGACATCAGTTACAAAATCATTAGTATATTTGTATCTCATTATACTACAACTATCATCTGCCTTCACCTGAAAACTTTGAATATTACTTTTGTTTTTAGTAATTATCATTGAGGGATAACCATCAGCCAAAAAACCAGAACTCCTGATCTCTTTTGAGTATTACCACAGAATATTTTACATCTACCTGAAAGGGCAAATGGGCTCTTGGTTAAAAATGGCATATCTCCTCATTTGCTCAATGCTGCATGCAACATCAGCCAATATGATATATTCAAAGCAGGGAAATAGGGCTTTCTACCTCAATCACTTAATGACATGGGCAACAGCAAGTCAGTTGGGAAAATATGGTGGGATTGTATAAATGAGATTCTTGATATTTTAATTTTACCCAATGTTTTAATGGTGAGTTAAGAAAGGAAGACGTTAATTTATATGGGTTAACAGCTCATTATTTCCTATTCTTGTCTCACTGATATGCAATTTCCTATTCTCCCACACGCCAGGCAGAAACCAGATGGCAACAATTCCCGACATGCAGGCCAGAGCAGGATTGGCAGCTCCAGTTAATTGCTTGGAGGTTAGCATCAGACAAGCAACCGCCTCACCTCATCATCTGGACACTTCTGAAACAATTTTTTAAAAATCTTATCTACATCAATGCTGCACTTTGGAGCTGTCCAACACCTTGTATTATAGTGTTCCTGACAGGCCACATTACATGCAGGGACAGGTACGCATCTCACATATCAGAGAAGGGTGCAACCCAGGGCTTTTCTTTTCATTCATTTTGCACCACTTGGATTTTCACAACATCCCTGCATTTCCTGGTCTTGCACTTTACAGGCTCATAGTACTTCTGTCTTGCCAGAGCAGACATAAAGCTAAGCACCTTGTCATAATTGTCAGAAATGATCATTCATTGTGAAAGATCAGGGTTGATGCAGTTGCTGTGAGAAAGAAAGGAACATGAAGATTTGGAAGGTCACCTAGATTAAAAGGCTGAGCCGAACACTCTCTCTGCAAAGTGCAACCTGTGTTACTTTAAATTGAAAATAACCAATGGCAATGAAAAATGGCTGCCACCACATCTAAGTAGGTGGAGTAAGTATTTTCCCTGTAGATGTGAGTTCTACTTCTGTACAATGTGAGGCTCTTCAAGGGGTAATTGTGTAATCAGCCACTTACGTAATACAGGTTAAAAACACCTGTATTCATAGAATCCTTCATGTGAAATGTATCTCAGATATGTGAGAATCAAATTCTGGCAACAAACAATCTTGACTATGTCATTGATAATTAGAATTTGATAATTGTCATCTCTGTGAAGCAGAAGTGATGACAGATGACCTTAATAATGTAACCTGCAAGCTACACTTCACAAAGAAGTACAAAGTCTCATAGTCTGCACAAGGACACAGACCTGAGTTCCTCTCACGTTGAGTTTGAAATGTTTACCAACATACTCTTTTATGCAATGCTGTTTTTCTTGGATGATGTGGAGGAACACGTTATTAGTAATTCCTCTGCACTTATAATCTACTACAGCATTTGCATGACAATGCTGCATTGATCATAATAAGGTCCATTGTGTTAACATTACAGGCATTCAATAATCCTCCTTGTTCGTGTCCTCCATGTCCCACTGTATTGAGGATTATGCTCCATTTCTGTGTGATGCAAGTACTGACTGCTCACATTACTAAAGGCCTGTTCTGCTTCTGGTATTCCCCATGTGGGGTCATTAGAACACGGCCACAGCAGGGATCATCATCCCTGTGGCTGTGGTGCAATGAAGGTGCAGAGACATTGAGGTGGGTTAGGGTTAGGAACAAGTGTGCCTGTAATCCCAGAACTAGCAACAACCTTCATTCTTCTAGCTACAGTTACAACGACAGTCGATTGGATAAGGTGATGACATAATATAGCAATACATTTACAAATGTGAGCTCTCCTTAGGATGAGCTGCCCTATATGCCCTCAGAAGCTGTTTTTTATATTCACAAACTGCACCAGGAAAGGCTAGCAGCGATTGACCTGGTGCACAATTAGGCTTTAAATATGGCGCCAGTGGCAGAAATCCCATAAAGTATTGGCAGTCATGAGTACATCTGTTGCTGGTGAGCACAAGAAATTGCGGGTGCAATCATAAAGGCATGGTGCATAGACAATGAAGTGAACAGCAGAGAATTGTGTGAGAAAACTCAC